TTCCTGCTGTGGTATGAGTCTTTTGTTCACCAAGACTTTTCTTCTAGGATCTAGGCCCCTAGAAGCTCGTGTGGGTCGTGTTTGTTTTGTTGGGGGAGGGTTGTGATTGTTGTTGAAAATTGAAATAATATTTGCAGACATTATTTTTTCATCTATCAATATCTCTCTGGCCTCTTCCCATTAAGACACTCTCTGGAAGTTTCCTTTTCTTGGTGTCGGTGTTTAGATTAATTGATTGACTTCTGTATTTGAAATTTTTGCAAAATTACCTTCAATTAAGACGGTGCATTTGGATTTGTTTGAACTTGACATGGGTTTTGGGGATTTTGGAAAGGATTGTGCTTCAAAATTTCTAAATTGCTCACTTAAAGGCCTCCACATAAAAGAATAATTTATTATTCAGACCATGAAATCTGTATATCCTTGTAGGTCGGCTAATATTTATTCCTTATCTTTCCTTTTCTGCTTGTAGGACTGGATTGTGCAGTTTGATCCTCCTGATGAACCCAAGGTGCTCATCCTTTCTAGCTAGCATGTCTCAGTTAATTTCTCAATGTTCTTGTTCATGCATTTTCAGTAACATGCACTCTGAATTTACTGCTTTCAGGAATACATCCACAGGGTTGGTCGAACAGCACGAGGGGAAGGTGCAAAAGGAAATGCCTTGCTTTTCCTGATTCCAGAAGAGCTACAGTTTTTGCGCTATCTGAAGGTATATTGGAGATTCATCACAGCTGCTTATCTTACACATCTCCAATTCTACTATTTTATGAAGAGGGCACCACCTTAGTGCAATAAATAATTGGTTTTGTTTCATCATGCTGTAGGATGCACAGCATTAGAATTTTGAAAAGCAAGAATACTTGATATCTTCTATCAGATTGAAAAAGAGAATGTTCATAATGATTAGATGTTGCTTTTGTAATCGCCTTTTGTGTATTCTTAACTTACCACCTCTCTTCTAGGCAGCAAAAGTCCCTGTCAAAGAGTATGAATTTGATCAGAAGAAGCTGGCAAATGTTCACTCTCAGCTGGTACTGTCCTACTTCACAGTTGTATGTTTCATCCCAGTAACTAAAGTTATAAAGAATTTAAATAGCTACTGGATTGTTTCAGGAGAAGTTGGTGGCCAACAACTACTATTTGAACAAATCAGCTAAAGATGCATATAGATCTTACATGTTGGCCTATAATTCACATTCTATGAAGGACATCTTTAATGTCCACCGACTCGATCTGCAGGTACCATTCTTGTCACTCGCATTCTACAAGGGCGATTAGTTGCACGAACAATTATATTTATTTTTTCAAGGAATGAAATGGCTAATGTTGGGTATCTGCAGGCTGTTGCTGCTTCATTTTGCTTTTCTTCTCCACCAAAGGTGAATCTAAACATGGAAAGCAATGCTTCCAAGTTTAGGAAGAAAACACACAAAGGAAGCCGAAATGGTTTCAATGAGAGCAATCCTTACGGAAGGCAGAGCGATGGAGATGAAAAGCGACAATTTGTAAGGTATTAACCAGATCGATATCAGTAAGTAACACTTTGGTGGAGCGAAATGTGATATTAGTAATTTTATGATTTTTTTTATTGACTTGTGGCCTTGCCCAAAAGTTTTGTTTAAATGTCGTTAACTGATTCGAGTTCATACACCTCCGAGATGTAATATTGAATGAACGATTATACCAATTTAGAGCTCTGAAATCAAGATTTTTGTAATCAAATCCTCTCATGGGCCATCTTCTGAACATTCTTTGCCCTCCAGTGTACTGTTACTAACCATTAATAACAGATCCGCGATGCCAGAAAATAAGATGGTGTACGGTTCAACCCAGTTGATATCATACATGTGTTAAATGTAGTAAAAACAGGACCATCAAACCAGAGACCAGAGCTATTTACGTGACGACTCGAGATTTTCATTAATGAAAGTGGATACTTCAAGTTGCTTTTTTTAAGTGGGTGCCTGTCAAACCGAGCTGTTTTGGAACGTAACGGTATTAACAATCTCTACCTTTATATATTTTTTAATTGATATTATTTTTTTATACATGTTATTCTCTGACGTGGTTTCCAGACTCATAAGAGGCTAACTTGTAAAAGGGGGTTGGGGGTATTAAGCTGTTGGATAACTTGTGAGTAGTTTATCATTTTTATTGGCCGTAGGTCAATCAGGTTTGGTCAAATTATAACAAAATAGGTTCAACTTGTATTTCAACTCAGGTTTGAACTCTTGGATTAACTCACCAAGTTTGGCCGAGCTAAGTAACTACTTAGATAATTGATCCGTGTTAGGCTATAATTGATCTATGGGCTAAATTATTTTTTTTAATGTAAAAACAAAAAATCAAATGTTACTAATGTTTTTTTTTTCTAGTAGAAAAAAATTATATGATAGTTTATTTGATATAACTCAATTGATTTTATTAGTCTAAAACAATCTATACAACTTGTGAAATATTTGACTAAATAAAATTTCAAGATGATATTTTTTAATATTAAAATAATAATATATTGGATTGACCTAGGATAACCCGGGTTAACATATCAAATTTATAACCCAAGTTATGAGACTATGATAATCCTATAAAAAGCAAATCAAAATAAATTATAAAGTTTAATTCTTAATCAACTTAATATTGAATGATAAAATTAGAAAAAAAATCAATTAAAAATCTAAAAAATAACTTGAGTTAACTTGTCAAACTTGCAACTTAGATCATAAGATTGAGAAAACCACATAAAAAATAAATCGAAACAAATTACAAATTTTAAACCCCTCAATATTAAAGGATGAGATTAAAAAATAAATTAATTAAAAAAAGAACATAAAAAATAATCTGAGTCAATCTACCAAACTCATGACCTAAGTCATTAGATCAAGATAACTTTATAAAAAAAATAAAATAAAAAAAGACCTAATTTAACTCGTGTTAACCTATCAAATCCACTACTTTGGTCTTAAGACTAAGATAACTCCAATAAAAAAAAAGTTAAAATAAATTATAAAACTTGATTCTCAATTGTCTTGTCAGACCTAATATTAAATGATAAAATTTATAAAAATCTTAATTAAAAAAATAACATAAAAAATAAGTCAAGTCAACCCGAGTTAATCGTTAAGCATTATTCCCAGGTCATTAAATCAGGATAACTAAATTAAAAACAAATTGAAACAAATCATAAAGTTTAATTCTCAATCAATCACTATTAATTGATGAAATTGAAAAAAAAAATCAGTTAAAAAAAGAGAAAAAATGAGTCCATAGGGTTAACCTGTCAAACCTATGACCTGAGTTATGAGACGGGGACAGTCTAATAAAAAGCAATTTCAATGTTAAAGAACTTGCAACCCGAGTCATGAGACCGATATAACCTTTTAAAAAAACCTGATTTAACTAGGGTTAAAATGTCAAAACTCACGATCTTGATCACAAGACCAAAATATTCTCATAAAAAGCAAATTAAAATAAATTATGAAACTTAATTCCCCAACGATCCAATGTTAAATGATAAAATTAAAAAAATCAATTAAATGAAAGACACAAAAAACAATTTGAGTCAACTCGGGTTAACCCAGCAAGCATTATTTTTGGGTCATGAGACTAAGATAACCTAATGAAAAGTAAATAAAATAAATTATAAAATTTAATTCTCAATCAAATTAATATAAAATAATAAAATTAGAAGAAAAAACAATTAAAAAAATATGAGTCAATCAAGTTATCTTGTCAAATATGAAATCCGTATTTTAAGAATATAATAACTAAATAAAAAAATCTAATATTAAAAAATAAAACTAAAAAAAAACATTGATAAAAAAATCAAAAAATAAAATAAAATAAAGCAAAGTAATATTATAATAAATAAACACTACCTAATCCCTCCCCTTCTAATGTATAGTTAATGTTTTCTAGATCCAAATCTCTTTTAAAAAAGGTTGTGTAGTGTTCCAATTATTTCTGATTGGCCGGATTTAATAACTCCTCTACATCTCTTTTAGAAAGGTTATTTAGTGTTCTAATTATTTCATACGTTTTGGATTCCGTCCTAGTTACTGCTGCCGTCCCTAAAAAAGGGCAACCGTCAGGGAGCATACGACGCTGCAGATTGATTGTCAAGTAAACATGTCGGTGCTCGGGAAAGTTTCGACAAAGCTATACCTGCAGAAGGAATATGTAGGCTGTCTTTCCTAAAAGAGAGACAATTTAAATGGAAAAGGAATCGATGAGCAGAAACACTCGGCTTTACCCAAAAAGGAAGAAAGAAAAACAACAAGCCAATGCGTCAATGTTGCAGAGGAGAAGTACTATCGAATCATGAATGATTTTGATCTTGGACACGCATATAATCTGAGTAGAAGCGAGGATGGCTCCACAACTGAACATTCTGAAGTAATTGCAACTAAACCACCAAGCAATCCACTGCAAACATCTAATGCATCCCGAAGGCCTACTAGTAATCGCCGGCCAAATAGGGTTGTGATTCCAGCGCTCGAACTTGCCAATGTAGTTCTTAATGCAGCCCGGCTAAAACCGGTCCAGTTACTATTAGGAAAACTAGGAATAAATAACTGGACATCAATCTCGTCGGATTAATTCACAATTCACAAGTTTCAATTTTTTCTCTTTATATAATCAAAATCACGATTAAACAATTAACAAATATAAAGCAACAATCATATAAATCAACACAAAGATTTTTACATGGAAAACCCAATACGGGAAAAACCACAAGATCATAGTCCACCTAAAAACTTCCACTATCAATAAATAATGGATTCATAACTGTTCTTTCATAGATTCAACTAAGAGCTACAACATACATATCATCAAGAATAATCTATTCTTGGAATACAACAAGATTAAATAAGTATTTGAGAAAAACTCACAATATCAATATTCTTGGAATGCATCAAGGTTGGCGAGGTTTAGTTGACCTTCTCAATTGTGACTCATCTGAAGCTTCTTGCATAACCTGTTCAGGAATAATATCAATATTATTATTAGTTGATTCAGGATCACCAACTAATGGCTCAATAAGAAAACCACCATTATCATCATTTTGAAAATCTTCCCTATTATTAGCAGGCATCAAAGGTAACTGTGGAGTAGGTCTTGGATTTAAATTAAAAGGAATAAAAATAGTAGACTCTGTTTTCTTTTTATGTTCAAAGTCTTCAATGGTTTGATCTTTAAAGAAAATAACATCTCTGCTTCTCATAATTTTCTCCTCCTTTGAATCCCACAACCTATAGCCAAACTCATTATCTTCAGAGCCCAAGAAAATACACTGCTTTGTCTTGCTGTCGAGTTTAAACCTTTTATCTCGAGGAACATGTACGAATGCTCTACATCCAAACACTCTCAAGTATGCATAAAAGATATCCTTTCCTTTCTAAACTCTATTTGGAACATCAAAATCAAGAGGAATTGATGGAGAAAGCTTGATCATGGCAACTACAGTCTTCATTACCTCACCCTAAAAGGACTTAGGTAGCTTTACATGAAAGAGCATACATTTAATTCTTTCAACAATGGTTATGTTCATTCTCTCAGCCACTTCATTTTGCTGTAGAGTCTTAGGAACTGTCTTCTCTAACTTGATACCATGTTCCCTACAATACTTCTCAAAAGGACCCCTGTATTCACCATTATTGTCAGCTCGAATACATTTCAACTTTCTACTAGGTTTTTTTTTTTTTTAACTCTAGCATAGAAATCCTTAAAGACATTAAGCACCTGATCTTTGGATTTCAAACAAGTGGCCCAAATTTTCCTGGAGTGATCATCAATGAAACTAATAAAGTACAACGCACTCCCAAGAGACTTATCAATCATAGAACAAACATTAGTATGAACTAAATTAAAAACATATGATCTTCTATGTGAAAGTGATCTTTGAAACACAACTCTGTGTTGTTTACCAACTAAACAATAAGTACATGTGTTCAAGTTCATACCTTTTAATGAAAGGTAGTTCTTCTTGGAAGGGATGTCAAGGCCTTTCTCAGTTAAATGTCCAAGTCATTTATGCCATAAATTAGTAAAGCAATCTTCAATTGCTTTCACTCCTCTTTGATCACTTTGACTTGTGACATGTAGAGACCCATCTTCTTCCTTTTAGCAATAATTAAGGAATTTCTAAAGAGCTTCTATTTACTATCTCCAAAGTAATTGTGATAGCCTTCTTCATCAAGAGTACTTGTAGAGATTAAGTGTAGGTGCATATCAGGCACATGCCTAACATCTTTGAGTAGCAACTTGCATCCAGTATTGGTTTCTAACCAAATATCTCCAATGCCCACAACACTAGTCATCCCTTGATTTTCCATCCTAACTTGACCAAAGTCACCAGCAGTGTAGGATGTGTAAAACTCACGTCGGGTGTAACATGGTAAGAAGCTGCTGAATCTCTAACCCAGGTGGTATCTTAACATGCAAGATTCACATAACCATCATCATAAACAATGGCAACATCACAATCAAATACAACTGCAGTTGTACCATTCTCTTCATTCTTGTCTTCATCTTTACCCTTTTTATCTTTTTTATACTTTCTACAGTCTTTTTGAATATGTCCAGGCATATCACAATAATAACACTTAATTTCCTTCCTTGACTGAGATCTTCTTCTTAGCTTTTATTTGCTTTTTTTATTGCTGGATTCTCTATTTTACTTGCCATGAGAGAACCTATTTTGACTTCTCCCTTGACTTTTTATAATAAGTACATGATACTCGAAAGTGCTTGTCCCTTTCCTCCTCTTCTCTTCATTGAGGATACTATCATTCATTGTTTTCAATGTAATCTTTCTATTTGTAGTAGAATTGCTAAGTGACACCACCAAAGTCTCCCAACTATCTGTCAATAAACTCAATAGGATTAGTGCTTGCATCTCATCAGCTAACTCAAGATTCATCAATGATAGCTGATTCAAAAACCCTCAGAATCCATTTATATGCACTGAAGCATCTTCACCATCTTTATACTTCAAATTCATAAGGTCTCTAATTACAAAAACCTTGTTTTATGCACTCTCCTTGGCAAAAGTTCCTTGGCAAAGGTTTCTTCTAATATCTTCCAAACTGTATAGCAATCATGTTTTTAAGAAATATGATTAATGGACTTAGAAGATGTCTATTTTCTAACATAAGCAGTCGCCTTTCTATTAAACCCATTCCATTTTACCTTATCCATCTCATCAGGCTTTTTCCCTTTACACTCAAGCAACAAAGCCAAATCATTGTAATATAAGTGATCCTCCATCATTGTTTTCCATAGAAAATAATTGGAGGAAGTGAGCTTTATCATACTCGAATCTTCCTTTCCATTTTAATTGCATAAGAAATTTAATCTACACAACCAGTGCTCTGATACCACTTTGTTGGGAAAATTAGGAACAAATAACCGGATTCCAATCTGGCCGGATTAATTCACAAGTTCCAATTCTTTTCTCTCTTTATACAATCAAAATTAGGATTAAACAATCAATAAATATAAAGCAACAATCACACAAATCAACACCAAGATTTTTATGTAGAAAACCCTATGCGGGAAAAATCACGGGACCGTAGTCCACCTAAAAACTTCCACTATTAACAAATAATGGGTTCATAATTGTTCTTTCTTAGATTCAACTAAGGGCTACAACATACATATAATTAAGAACAATATATTCTTGGAATACAACAAGATTAAAGAAGAAGTATTTGAGAAAAACTCACAATACTGACAGCTCTATTTTTTTTTATCAAAACAGCCAACTTCCACACCACCAATCTTCGATCCAACCATTAAGAATGACGAGTAACATGTCTAGAAGCTGCTGTCAAAATCTCAGTCCGATTCAACGATAAACAAGCTAGAAATCAAAGAAAGAAGACAATCAATTCAGCTGTCTCAACTTCCTCTCTTTCTCCTATTCTTCTCAACTTCCTCTCTTTCTCCTATTTTTCTCTTATCTCTTTTGTTAAAATTGCTATTACATCTACAGTACAACTACATTTAAATTAAAAGAGGCAGCTCATGACAATTAATATAGTGGTTCCACCATCACATGATACGGAACCACACACAACAATTACTTGATCGGTACCAAGCACCATAAGTGTTGCATTGTGCCCACATATTGGCACGGGCTTGCCAAATGCATCAAAACAACTCACTTGAGGAACTTGAATAAATGAGCCCCGAAGTCCATCAACCCTCCTACCAAATGAACCACACCATTGCCAGCGAAGTCAATAGCACCAGAGCCTAACAACTGATTAATTTGAACTAGGAGACAACAAACCAGTCGATGACCAAACCCAATGAACCATAATTGGGTACACAAATTCAGAAAGGGAAAATGAGAAAACAAGATAAGCACTGAATTAGGTTCTTTTAGCTATGGAGCCGCTGGTAATTCTAGCAACTGCAGCAGTAAAAGTCAATTGGTAAAGAAAGCAACTATAGTTGTAAGAGGTATTAGGAATATATTTGAGAACAAAGAAGCTTGTACCTATGAAAGGGTTAGAATTAGTTCCATTACCAAATGCAAACGCAAAGCCAAAGAGATAATAAGAGATGCTTCCAGCAACAACATCAACAACATTAGTGAAGTTAAAAAATACAAAGAACATAAAATAAAAGGTTATTTGATGTCAGTCTAGGAGAGTGGTTGATTAATAAGTTAAAAATATTTAGATTTTTTTTCAATCTAAAAAATTTTAAACTCACCAAGAAGGTCTTGAATACTTGTAATAAAATACTTACAATCAGGAGATTTAAAGATCATTTGATTCGATGATAAAATCTATATTTTTTTAGAAAGAATTATAAGAATATTCTAAAGAGAAATACTCTAAAAGTATAAATGGTGTAAAGAATTGAAGATTATGAATATTTATTATAAAGCTCTCATTTATATTTATAGCCCATAAATTTTATTCTTTTATAAAAAGAAGCACATGCAGTGCAGTTACCCTAATAACATTTAATGATGGGTAAATATTTTTTATCTGATGGAAATATGGTAGATCCTTAAAGGACTTTTATGTACCTAAAAAAATATAGAGAGCCAAAGTTTAAGACATCAAGTGTAACTAAGTTTATAGAGGTCAAGTTCTTCCATGAGATTAGACTCAAAGGAAGCTAATTATTCCCCTAAACATGTCAAGGGAGGATGGTCATTGTCTTGGATTTAGCTGACTGCTAAGTCCAACCGTCTTGGGTTTAATTTGCATGTCAGACCCACACTACCTTGAGTTTAATGCACTTTCAAGCCCAAGCATCTCAAACTTAACTGACTATCAAGTTCAACTGCCTTAAATTTGATATGCATGCTAGACCCACGCTATATTGAGCTTGACGCACTGCCAAGTCCATTCACTTTTGACCTTAAATGCGTATTAGATCCATGCTATATTGGGCTTGATGCACTGTCAAGTTTAAACATCTTGGGCTTGGTTGATTATCGAGTCCAAATATTTAGGGTCTAATATGTGCCGGATGTTTTAAAGAACCAAACAAAAACTAAATGAAATTGACTCATCAATTTGTAAGCGTACTGTTCATGGCATTCTTGGCCCGGACTGAGCCAGCACATAGCATGGCAAAGCCAAGTTGCATCGCTAAGACCAGGTAAGCTGAGAAGAGGAGGTCAATGGTGTTGATAGAGTGTAACACTTTGTTCACATGAACCCTCCATTAGTATTTTGGGAGAAAGGGTTGGCTGGTGCAAGCAGAAGATGAAAGATAAAGACTGCTAGAAGCTTGCTAGTTGCGTATAGATAGCATGTTGAATGGTAGCCAGTTTTTTGTGGCCAGTTTTTTTCATTTCTCTTTCTTGTTATTTTCTGGTAGGACCATTTGGAGTGGATTGCCGACTGGCTGCGCATTATACTTCAAAGACTCGTCTGCGGTTTCAGCTAGAGAAATGTAGAACTGTATGTCATGCTGCAAGTCCATCGAAGTGGAAGACGTAATATGATCATCACCTCAGTTGTTAATACCAAATAATAACCACATGCGCGGCACACAGTTGTCATTCTTGAGAAAACTGATAATCGGATTGGACTGGAAAACAAAGAGAAAATTGAGTGTCCAAAGTAACCTCCTTTTCTTCTTCTTCTTTTTTTTTTAATTTAATAACGCATCAAATTGATGCTTTTATGATATAAAAGCAATAATAATACCAAATGTTGGCTAATTATTACATATACCTGATATACAATTAGCACTACCACATGTAGATAGGAACAATGCTAGTGTTCCATTAGCATCTACTAAAACTACAATTACGCAAAATAATACATCTGAGATAAATGCTTACAGCCACAGTAATTGTGTATTTGTGTTTAAATTCATATCTAAAATGGTGGTTTTGAAGGGAATTAGTAGGCTTTCTGGTAGCGAGCATTATCCCCCACCGGAACTCGGCTGGTGAGGGAAGGTTTCATTGTAACAATAGCAGATTCATTTGCTCCGGCTCTAAGAGCAGCCCTGCCAGCTTCAAGGAACCTCCTAACTGCATCCTCAGCATATCTGTTGGCTTCACCCACTGTCATGCTTTTGCCAATATCCGGGTAAGCATTCAGTACATGATCGCCATTGAGCTGTGATGCAAGCTGGATCATCTCAACTTGAAACTCCGAGAGGCTTGCATCTTCTTTTGGTCCCCATGGCCTCAATGATGTCGTCACGTCTGGCAGCGTTTCTGTGTACAGATTTCAGGATTAATTTAGAATCATATGATGTAAGATAAGATAACACACCACGAATCCCAGATAATGTTTGTTCAGAAGAGATTTTCTGTATGAACTAACGGTTCTTGAAATGCCATAGTAGACACGTGTGTCGACATCCTTGGACCATCTACATAGCCTGAAACAGATAGATAACAGGGTCGTCTCTTCACTCTTGACTGGGTTCTATCTCTACAAGCCTAAATGGAACAGTTAACCTAAAGGCTTTAATCTTCAGTCTCCAACCTCCATTATTGCTATAGACATAAAAGTTAAGAAGGATCCGCTTAAAAAAGAAGAAGAAAACAACAGAAGACTGTGTGCTCTCATATTTGCACGTCACTTGACTCTGTCTGTTAGAGAATACTGCCATGGATTTCATGGCAAGCAACTAATTCGCAAATAAAATAAGTGGGAATCCCATTAAACGATGAAATAGGCAAATCAAACAAAAGCAGTATAGCACCAAATCAAATACAAATACTGCCAAATTAAACAGGGGTGCAAGACCGCATCCTACTTGAAGCCTCACGCAATCAAATTAAGCACAGTAACGTTTCATTGACTACAAGACAAAGTAACTTGGTTGTTCAAAAGAAAAACAAAACATTACTAATTATTTAAAGATAAGGATATCGATCCCAAACCTGGGCAATCATCACGCGGAGTGTCACGAAGGTAAAAGTAATTCTCAAAAGTACCAGCCCATGCATCCCTCCTTGTCAAGAAATTCGAGTTCAAGTTAAACAGCTTCTTCACCGTTGCAGGGATTGAAGAATGCTCAAATTGTGAATCTGGTCTTGGCCCATCTGGTTCATGTATCACTGCACATCAACAGCAATAATCAATCCAAACCACCCTATTATTTACTACTTCTTGTGAACAAAAGAAAAAAAAAATCCTTAAACAACAACATTAATAGCAGCAAAATAAACAATAGAACAAAACAACAAAGAACTCAACACTTACCAGTACCCTTGTCAACCCAAGGAGAGATCAAAAAGGTCGGAACCCGAATACCCAAGCGGTCAAACTGGAAATAATATGGGTCAGGCCCAATAATCCCATCCGGATTCGGTACCCCTCTGACGGGCGTAGGTACGTGATCATAAAATCCACCATGCTCATCATAAGTAATCAGAAGAGCCATCTCTTTCCACTGCGGACTGCTCCTCAATATCTCATACACCTCCTTCACAAACCTCTGTCCTCTTGCCACGTCATGTGATGGGTGATCATCATTGGCTGGAAATAACTCCACGTCAAAGTACCTCTGCTCCACCACCACATAATTAGGTAACTTCCCTAGCTTCGCATGCAATTTGAACTTCAGTTCGTAGCTGTGAAACTTCAACAAGTGCTTTAATTTCCTCAACGACTTGAAAAACAGTGTTGCGGGGATATTTTGGTAATATATCCCGAAACTGAGGCCATTGTCGTCGAGTGAGTCGAATATCGTTCTTTGAGGGAATCCATGGATAAGGTCTTTCCGCACGTTACTCATGGCTCCGTGTGAGGTTGCTGAGTGGACATAGAACCGGTTCGGCTGAGTTGACGCGGGAACCGACGCGAACCACCGGTCAAAAACGGCGAACTCATTCGCTAACTCGGTGTAAACCGGTAAAAGACTCGGTTTGAACCCGCTCATGACGGTTTTCGACATGGTTTCACCCATGCTCTTCGCTTGTTGCACGAACCCGTTCATTGGAGCCGGGTCAGCGAAACTATCGTTTGACCCGAATATCTGTTCTCGGATCGCCTGGAACGAGTGGCCAGGGTCCGAGTCGATGAAGACCGCGTCGTCGGAGACGAAGACTTCGTCGGAGTTAGGGTCGGAAGCAGAGATTCGATTCGATTCGGAACCAGATAAGCCGTCGATGTCGGGTCTGGTTGACTTGAGCCAGCCGAGAAGGTGGTCAAAGGAGCGATTCTCCATGACGAGAACTACTAGGGTCTTGATGGGGCCTTTGATTCTGGGTTTGTGTCTTTTGTGTAAATCATCAAAGTCTAGGGACTGAGAGGAAAATACTAGATAAAGAAAGAGCAAAGAGGCGAGTGATAGTCGACGAGAAGTCATTTCCGGTGAACGGGAACTGGAAATTCCGGTGATTAGTCAGGGAAAGGAAAGTCCTATCTAGGACAGGAAAGGGTGCATTTGTGTGGCAGGTATAATAATAATAATAATAATAATAATGGAGTAGCCGACAGGAAAGTAGATCGTTATTTATGAAGAAGAGCAGAGGAGAGGAGGGTATATCCCTTGGAATGGAGAGAATAATAGTAATATGCTTGACTTTCCTTTTAAGTGTGATTATAATTAGGTGTTTATGTGAACCCAAATCTAAGCTGACGATGATGATCACGAGTGAGACAGATTATAAATAACGGGTAGTGTCTTTTCTTTTTTAAGGGTTTGGATTTTAATAAACGGATAGGAAATAGCAAGCTGAGAAATTACCACGTCCCACAGTATTTCTTGGATTTTTAAATGTTTTTTTCTCGGGTTATGCGTTGGTGACAAGAATTTACTTTTCAGCTTTTTCTGTGGCCACTTACTGAATCTTTGTTTTTCTTTGTCCTGTCCTCTTGCCGGAAAACAGTAACAAAACACCTTGCGCATTTAAAATATATACCATATATCTTCTTAGCGCTTTGTAAAAAAGCAACATGTTAAAAAACAAATTTAGTCCTAAATCATTGGTTATAATAACAATTTAAATAATGCAGTAATAATAATAAACTGATAAAAAAAAGCACGTAAAAATAATAGGAGTAAAATTAAAAATTATTTGTAATATAATTAATTAATTTATAGATTGAAAAAAGGAGTGAAATAGAAAAAAATATTAAGAGCTAACTCAATAAAAACAAACAGAAAAAAAAAACAAAAGTTAGAAAAAAGTGAATTAAACCAAAAAAATAAAAACAGTTAAAAACTAATAAAAAATAAGAAGATATCAATTTAAAAAAAATAAAAACAAGTCAAACCTCACCAACCTCTAAATATTTATTTAATCTCTAAAAGTTATATTTCATAAATTTTATTATGAAGATTCAATTAAAAAATATAATTATCAATTAATTTAAAATGAGGATAAAATCATTAAAAAAAGATGCAATTTAATGAAAAAATTAAAAATTAAATTTTAAAAAATTAAAAAAATTATAGGTGTAACAAGTTTTAGTATAGAGGACTAGTTTGCGCGCATATATGATCTGTGCATCACAAGAGCATCTATAAAGCTTCAATCTTTTTTATTTAACCTTTAAAGCTTGTTCTCGGGCCTAAGTAAATTGATCCTCTGTAGTATCCATACATGATCCAAATCTATTAAAGCTAGGCCCAAATTTATGGTGAGACATGAGAAAGTAAATGAAAGAGTTTTGCTCCATCCCTCTAATTCTAAATACATCATAAAAAATCTGAATTCTTTACATGTAACCTACTTTGACATGATTTTTGTTCACATTTTTATACATTTTTTAAAAATTTTAATTTAAAAAAATTAAATTGATGTTTTATTTAGTTTTTTTATGATATACTGATGTTAAAAACAAAAAAAAAATTATTTTTATACATTTTCAAGCTAAAAGTAATTTTAAAAAATACCATGCATCAAACTCCTTTGAGGTATTGAAAACAGTGGTGAGGGTTATTTTTAAAATGCTTTTCATTTAAGAATATATCAAGAGATATTTTATATTTTTAGCACAATAAGTTTACTAAAGTATTTTTGGTGGCAAAATTAATTTAGGTTTTTTTTTGGGTATTTTTTTATTTTTATCTAAATTTTGTTTATTACAATTCAAAAAATAGAGAGGTAAATTGATTTTTATATTAATTAAAAAATATTAAAAATTCAAGCCTATTAGGCAGACCCACTCCATAAAAGTGCATGAAAGATGCCATAAAGTTTTGGAGGTGTGTAAAGAGTTATTCAGTGGTCGAAAATCTATTTCAACCATATTAGTTGATTGCTTGTGGCATCCCTTTTCTCCATAAGTGCCATGTGTTTGGTTGTGTTGAATGGATTGTTGTGGAGTTATTTTTTTATTTTTTTTAATTCATACTTGATATTTAAAATTTTAAGATATTTTTTTTAATTGAGAATATTTGAGTATTAATTTTTATTCTTTTTATTCTTTAATTTTTATCATTGATCCTTTTATAAGTTTTTTTTCTTAATTGCATCCTTTAATCTAAATTTTTTTTTTAAATTCAATCCTGATTTTTTTCTTCATTTTTTGATTGCCTCTTTTATAAAATTTTAATTTTATCCTTTATAAAAAAAATAATTTCTTATGTTTTTAGATTTGGTCATCATTCTCTTAGTGGTTTCTTCTTTAAATGTTTTTGTAAAATTAATTTTTCTTTTTAATTTAGTCCTTCAAGCCAAAATTATCCATCTTCTAATTTGTTTTTTTTAATTTGATTATCATTCTTTTAATTGTTATTTTTTCTTTTGAATTTTTTTTGTGATTGGTCTTTTTTTTAATTTTATCTTTTGATATTTGATTTATTGAAATTTAAGTTTCATGATTTTTCTAAGTTTGGTGCTTTCAATCAAATAATCTAGGTCACGAGTTCATATCATTTTTTACTAATTTTTTATCTCATTACTTGATGTTAATTTTTTTATTAAAAAAATAAGCTTCATGGTTTTTTTATTTTTTTATAGAGTTATTTTAATGTCATGACTTGAGCCGTGGAATTAACAGGTTAACTTGAGTGAGTTCATACCTTTTTATTGACTTTTAATTATTGTTTTTGTATGATTGATTTTTTTTAATTTTATTATTTAATATTGTATTATTGATAATTGACTTTCATAATTTTTCTATATATAGTTCTTCCAATCATATGGTTAGGGGCATGGGTTTTATAGTTTTTAAAAAAATTAATTTCACGATGTTTTTTATTTTTTTGTTTTATTAATATGAGAGGACTCAAGCTTTTTTTTTTCCCTCATAATTGCTTTTTTTTTAAAAAAAAAAATTTAGTATGATTTTTTTCCTTCAATTTTATCTTTTAATTTTTAATTAGTTAAAATCTATGCTTCCAGTTTTTTCAAATTTATTGCTTCAAAATCCACAATATAACATCAAATAAAAGTTTTGTGTTTTAATCATATCAAAATTCCCGTCCTGTCAGAAAGCTTGGCTGACTATGTATTCAATCTGATGTGCCTTTTTACCAGCGCCCATGATCATCTAATCAGGGACCATATACCAAGATGATACTGCAGAACCCTGCGTATATAACTCATCTTTTATTCACCTATGGTGATAGTTATTTGCTCCGATGACTACAAAAGTGTATGCCAAGGGTTCACAGTAATTGCATACAATCAAGGTGCATGAAACTATAACTTCGTTCGTAAGTTGAAACCCAACTTGTTACAGCTCAAATCTAATGTCCGCAATGATTTCCATCTCCCTATAGTTGTTGCTACATGCTCTTGAAGAAAATTATGGGACAAGTTGAGGTGCTGAATCCCAGTTTGTGTCCCTACTCCAGCTTTTGCAGTGCCGGCGGAGAATAGTTATAGGAAAGATCAATATATGTCGATGAACAATCAGAAAAAAAACATTTCCTATCTCAAAAACATTATTTACTGGGCCAGTTAGCTTGTTTGAATGGAGATCAAGCAAACCCAAATACTGCAAATTTGTACTGAATCAGGGATCCTTCAAACAAGTGAGTTCCTTGACGAAAATGGGATATACGCTCGAGGACCCCAGCAGCAAGCTGCTGTGATGAACCCTCCCCCTAAAAAAATAAATTTAATATCGTGTGAACCATTGGCCCACGTATCAGATATTAAACTGATAAGAACAGATACCATACTTGATCTTAGCCAAAAAGCCGAGAAAGGTATGAGTTTGCTACTGCCCTTGGACTTACTTTTATATGGTTACCCTTGTTTTCTCTTTCGATGCAGTACAAACAAAACTAGCCAATACTAAAGAAATGCTAGGGCAAACCTTCGATGAACATACACGAGCTAGCGACAGACAACGATCGCAAGCGTCCTCAGTTAGAAGAAACAAGAAGAAGATTGGTTGTGATATGTTTTGATGAGCTTAACAAAACACTGTATATTGATTTGTATTTATAGACATTAGTACAACTATCATAATGGAGCAAGAAAAGGAGACAAATGTGGAGCTAACTTAATTTGCAGTTGTATCAGAAACCTTAACATCCTCAACATCTTTTCTCCAATTTTCTGGTAACCTCACTTACCATTCATCTCATCAAATGTGCAACACTAATCAAATTAGAAGGGAGAAAAAGAACAAGACAAATTCAAATGCACAAGAAAAATACTGCAAAGGCAAGATACCTCCACGGGAATCACTTGCTTCGAGATTTTGCTTCTTTCCTTTAGAAAAGCAAGCTTCGTTCAAATGAGTTTCCATGCATCTACAAGGTCCACAAACAAGTTAAAATCATTGACTAAAATTCATTATCAACTGAATGCATGACAAGGAAATGTCATTGATATCTTCTAGTTTTCATGGAGTACTTCACCATGTACTTCAAAATTAGAGCACGTCTAATCATGAAGTATTCTAAAAAGAGACAGGAAGGAGACTGAGAATATATGTTTCTTCGTTTATGGAAAATTAATGTTTATTAGCTGCAATTCTGGCAATGGGTTATTGAATCCCCACTACTCCCCCAGTATACAAACACGTCAGCTCATGTGCAGAGGATAATTTATATCCCCCCCTCATTTTCCGATTATGATACTTCCGATCATAGGCACCATTAATGTTAGGAAACTGGTATTTGCTAGCTGGAATATCAGGAATTACCAATTCAGTCTCCATTCTGCAGCATATACCACATTTAGTGTGGCATAAGATCCACTTACATTTTCCTTTGACGAATCCCACTCAGATTAAGAAGCGAGTGAAGAAAGGTGGCTTTTGCCCTTCAGTAATGACATGAATAGGAGTCTCGGAAGATAGTCCTTCTACCAGTGGGTCTGTCCGTAGGAATCTCAGCCAGTTCATTCCAAGTGAAACTACGAGAAAGAAAAAAAAACAGATAAAAGTGAAAACTGAAGAGCCTCGAGAATATTATTCTTGGCTAATCAATGCACTCGAATCATTGTCGTGTATTGGACTAAACGTCGCATATGGAATGCCATAGCACATGAGACCAATAACCAAGTACTTAAACCTGGATACATTTATACCAAATGAACCATGAGTTGTTATTTAAATGAAGGAAAAATCTAAAGAACTGTTTCTCTCCAGCATTTCTTTGTTCAAAGAACTGTTTTCACTTGGACACAACTAAACTGTGTCGCTATCCTGTTAACAAGGAAA